AGAGTCAGACGCAGAGAGCCCGAGGTTGGGAGCTAAGAGCGATCGCAGCAGAGTCCAAGCGAACACTCAGCGATAGCACAACCGGGACAGCCAGCTGACCCACCAACTCACGAACAAACGAGCAAGCAAAGGAATTAGTAAAGCAGCTAATGAGCAAGTTAGCAAGGAAGATGTTAAGTAGCTAACAAAAGAGTTAAGGAGCCAGCAAAAGAGTAATGGCCCTGGAGCCTACTCCCTGCTTATGTATCAAGCATGATGTACTGTGGAATGAAGTACTCCTTTGGTCAGTTTGGGTCAGCTGTCTGAACTGTGTGTACCGCCCCCCCTCCCCCAGCTTGTATGCAGCTGCAGTAACAGAAGCAGAGAAGGACCTTGAACTTGGTGCAAGCGCTCCACAGCACCAGCTAAAAAGAAAAACAGTACTTTTCTCAGGCTAAATCCAGATACACAGCTTCATACACTGTGAAGAATTATAACTCTTTCCTGACTAAAACCAGCACAATTAGTCATCATGATGTAGGCTGAATTCTTGCAAACCCCTCCTTGTATCATAGCTTGGTTGAATAAATAAACTGTTAATGTGTGCATTTAAAATTGGTGCTTGAGCCGTCACTTGAATGAGATGATAGCACTGTCACAGGAGTTGAACGAGTAAGAAACACATGGCAATTTTACCTTGGTTGTGTTTCATGTGGAAAAAGATCTTCTGAATTCCTTCCCCATCCTTCTCTCCCAAAAGGAAGGAAATGTACACTGCTCTGGAATGGCTTCAGTCTTGGGGCATTTACTGGGAAATGTGATGTGAGGGCTCAGGTCCCTGAGCTGCCCAAGCCCTCTGTGTCACCAGGTGATTGCAGGCTGAGGCTTGCCTGGCATTAAGAATAGTCGAAGCAGGGAACTAGTTTTCATGAGGATCTACGCGAGTGTACAGGTGAAATTAGTCAGAGGTGATCACTTGCAGTAATCAAGAAATGGTTTCTGTAGCCTATGATTTTTTCCAGCCCTACATGGCAGTAGTTGAGCAAGTTCTTCTCGTGTGAACATGTAAGTTGTCTCGATGAGATGAAAAATCCACTTGTGTGTTTAATTTAATTAGAAAAGGTAAAGAAATGCTGTATTAGCAGCAGCATGTGCATGACACGTTTGACAGGATTCATAGTCTTGTGTTTATATGGTGCTTGCTGTCACCTGGGGCTTTGAAATTTCACAGAGCTTACATCAGTACTAGTCTGTGCAGAGACTACCTGTGCATTGCATCATTTTTTTGCTAATGTCAACAGCTTTTATGTTAGACCAGTTAATTTCAACATGTTTTGTGTCAGTAGTTTCAAAATATGTTTATACACAGGGGCTGATGGCCTGTTCTGTGCCTTGTTCTAAAGATGGAAAGAAAGAGTGATTCTGTGCAGAGAGCAAGGTTCTTACTCTTGTTCTAAGGTCTTCTTGCTAGCTAAAATAGCTGAGTAACATGAAGTGCTCAATGAACTCCAGGAGGAGTAACGGGAAATTGTTGTGGAGACTTTTCTGTTTGCTGGCTTGTCACATGTGGAGAAACAACAGAAATATTTGCTGCTTGATTTAGTGTTTAATGCCAGCTCTTTCTGATAGTTTTTTCTATTTAAACCTTTCTTTGGAGGGTGTTTTATCCACATTATCTAACAAATAAAAAAAACGAGGGGTGATGGGAGTATCATTTAAGTGGAGAGAACTAGGTAGGGAAGCTAGAATGTATCTTTTGATAGTTAATGTGTAGGCCCATTAGGAGAAGATTCAGAGTGCAGAAGTAAGTTGTCTAAAATCAGGTATGGTGATTATCCTCCTATGAAAACTGTGCTTTTCATGAAGAGAATATCCTGCCTATTTTGTGGTTGCTTCAACCCTTCCAAACAAAAACACAGTAGTCCTATTTTGTGTCTTTATTTTTCTGGCTGGTGTTGTGAAATCTGTAAAGCTGATTGTTGGAAAGGAGCAGTTGTGCTTTTCTTTTTCCTAAACAGTTTCTGTTATGGTAGCTATTTTTGTTAATCTTTCAATACCAAATGCAGCTCAGAGAAGTGAAATAATGGTATTAAAAAGATTTTCTGAGAGTTGCGTAAACTTTTTTCCCTATAGTGTTTCTGTAAGGGGTTCCTGAGTAAGAAATAAATGTTGCTATACCGTTGTTTGCAAAGGCTTTGCACCTATCTGGTTATGTTCTGTTGTAAACCAGAATGCCATGTCAAAACATGACATGAGCGTGAGTTTCTTGAAGGTTGGGTATGTCTTTGAATGTTTGGCTAAATTCTAGCAGGATGGGGTCTTGTGTGAGCCCTCCTAATGCTGTTGCATTGTAAATGCAGGATGATGTGCTGCTGCCACAGATGTTTTAATTTGAAGTGTTCGGAATTAATGCCTGCAGTAAGTGCCCTTCAGAAGTAATGATAGCATGGTGATGCTAGTCTGATGCAGTAACAGCAGGTTAATGATTTATGATAAAATACTTTATTGTGGTTCAGTAGCAGGCAGGTTTGTTGTTTTTTTTTTTTTGGAAACAAGAAACTTGGTGTGATGTGTTAATGCTTGATTTTTTTTTTTAAAACATTTTTTCTTTCTTTAATAGCGAGTTGAATTCAAAACTGCAAGACACTTTGGAACAAATAGAGGTAAGAATTAATATATTGATGTTTAGTATAAGCATTTAACCTCTAGGGACTAGAGCTTTCTAATGCAATGTTATTAGCAATTACAGAGCATGCAAATACCGTCTTTGGATCGCTATAGTCGTTACTATTCATGTAGTCTTTCTGTGCTGCAGTCAACTTAAATGCTGTGTAATGTTATCAAACTTCTGAGCCCAGCTCACTAATGGTGCTCACTTTAACTGGTAGAGTAAATAAAACAGGCACGTAACATAGAAGTAGTGGAGCAAAGCTATGTTTCCTATATGGTGAGGATGCATGGTGGGTTTCAGTCCATAAACTGCTGTGAATTCTTTAGATTACTTTTCACAACTACTTTGGAGTAAATTAGCAGCATGCTAATAGGTTTATGTAAGCTACACAAGAGCTCACTGTTCCACTGAAAGTTTTACTCGGCAGCAAACAGGGAACTGCTGGACAGAGCTAGTCCTAGACCATAGAAAGTGGGACTTGAGTAGTTTGGGAAGATGCGACTAAGACAGATTAGTTTAAGTTGGTAAATAGTATCAGAAAAGCAAATGAATATAAATGGCAAGTGTCTTTCTGGAAACTGGTGACAGAAAAAAATTAATGAACAATAGAAATTCTTTTAACTCCATTACTATGTAATTTTGAGCTGGAATTTGGAAAGGTTTTGTAAGAAGTCTAGTAATGTCAAAATGTATTGTTTATATGTAGTGCATGTAATGCCTACACATGTAATGCATAGCAGGAAACTGAGTTAGCTATCCCAGCAGCTCTCTATGCCTCTGGTCACATGCTTTTTAGAAGGTCAGGTTAGTGCATGTATTATCGTACCTTGTTATTTAATTTCCCTGTACAATTAGAACTTTGTTGAATTTCTGCTTTCACTTTCTTGCAAAGCTTGTCTTTGTTCTTTTATTCTTTCACTAATATATGCTCTCTTCAGAGCATGGCTGGTTCAAAAGGGCTAATGAAATGGCTGTTTTCATTCTTTCATAGACCAATCATTAAACTTTTGCTTAAGATCACTCAGCTTTCAATCCTATTGCTTTCATTTACATGCCGTTTATTCCTTGATTGAAGTCGCTTAAAAGGTGATATGCATCTTCCTTCCAGTAACAGCTTTGCCGTTTCAGTTGGTGATAGCAATTCACAGCTAGCCGAATAATCATATGCAAGATGTTTACTATTTGTGAGTTTATAAAAATACTGTATTTCCCTCCTGCGAAAGTATCTTCTTTTTTACTGGAATTATGTCTGTACATATGGCAGAATGTAAGTCGTCCTGGGGTGATCACTCCCATATGGGGGTGCTCCCCATCAGATGGGTTTAGTGACTAGCAAGGGGAAGAAATATCTGCTAGCTGTGTATGTTATCTTATGGTATTGGTTCCCGTTTAGGTTTTTTCCATTGCTGATTGAAAATAACTAGAATTAGGCTCTGTATCTCTAAAAACATTACAGTGTCTAAGTAAGAATTATGTTGTTAAGCTGCATGGTCAAATTCTTGGAAGCCTTATTAGTAAGTCATTAAGTATATGATCCTTTTTTTTTTTTTTTGCATTCAGTGCACATAATAGATGAACTTCATTTATTGCAAAGCTGTTCAGTATGGTCAGACACATCTCTGATGGAAAAACTAGTAATTGTGTGTGTGCGCTTTCTTTTCTACTCCTGCAGTACCAATTATTATGTATTATGTGTAGTACTCCAGAAATGACTTATTTCACAATGAACTTTTAAGTGAGACAGTGTTAATTCCATTTAATAGGTGGTGGTCAGAGGATTAAGTAGTCTGTAATTTAATTGCTTGAGCTGAAACACCTGTGGAGCATTTTCATATTTTTCCCCAGATCTGGGTCGGTCTTAGGAGTGGCAGTAGACTGAGTTAGAAATCCTGCCTCTTCCATATTGTGATGAAGATTACCATCCATGTTGTGATGATGATTACCTTCTCAAAGTAAACATCACCTTGAATTTGACTTCGGTGAAATAGCATATTTTTTACTCTGCTTGTTCGTGGAAACAGTGGAACTGTTTTGCTGTCTGAAATTTCAGACTGAAGTTCTGCAGGCTGCAACAAGTAACATTTGAGCACCTTAAAACACTCCTTAATATACATTCTTGGCTATTGTATGAGCATAATTACTGGATTATTTAAATAAACAGCTTTTCCTCACTTGCTTTTGCTGAAGTAATGTATTACTTGGTCTGTTTTTATGAAGTGTTTAACACATTCTTTACTTCACGTTTCTAGGAACAATTGGATGTAGCGCTCTCCAAAATATGCAAGAACTTTGATATCAATCACTATACGAAGGTTCAACAGGCTTACAGGCTGCTTGGAAAGACACAAGTAAGTACTCATCTTCCGAGTTAGTCACAAAGAACAGTGGTGTAACAGCATGAAGCTTTGAGTACTGTGATGGAAATTTATTTTCCTAATGATGTTGAATCTTGCAGAGTATACAAAGAATTTTATAATGCTCAGGTAATTTAACAGTAATTGCTAAAGGTAAACAGTGTATTACTGTAACATGTAGCTTTTTGGACATGGTATAACTAATAGTTCCATATTTCATCTCTGTTTTTAATGGTATTTGCATTATTAATTGTGTTTGGGCATGTGAGTACTATTTTTGGTAGCTAGGTCCCTGTTACAGACTTGTGCACAAGCTGTCCCTTGTACATGTGTGTTCCCGTTTTATATTGTCCTCAAATGCCACTGGAATGAAGATGTGAGGAGATACTTTTTTGCAACAATATATTCCTAATACCCGATCTAAACTTCCCCTGATGCAACTTGAGGCCATTTCCTCTTGTCCTATCATCAGCTGCCCAGGAGAACAGACCAGCACCCACCTCCCTACAACCTCATCTCAGGTAGCTGCAGAGAGTGATCAGGTCTCCCCTCAGCCTCCTTTTCTTCAGGCTGAACAACCCCACCTCCCTCAGCCGATCCCCATAAGACTTGTCCCTCAACAAGGAAGGAAGTTTCAGAACAAAACACAAGTGTTATTTGATACTACATGGTTTTGCCTGCTCTGTTCCCATGATAGTGGCTTGGTTTTGACATTTCTTTAATTACTATTAAGGTATGTATTTTGAACTTGTCTTGAAAAGAATTTTTTTGCATCATAATTGAAGTAGCTCTCATTCTGACCCCTCTTCATTAAACAAAATGACAAGAATGTTCAGTGTCTTCAGGAGTTTTCATATTTTCATCTGTCATTCTGTTTCCTTTGACTAATTCAAGTTAGGGCTAGCTGCAGAAGCTGAGTTATTTGCAAAAGGATTGGAACAGAATTGCTTGGTGTTTTTTTTTCTTATGGGGGCAATTGAGTTGTCAGCCCATGTCAGTAGCTAAAAATGTCAAATAGCAAGTCACAAAAGTGACCATTTTCAAATCTGCAGTATCTGATGACTTCATTGTGCCTTATCAAATAATCTTTTTAGCAGTTCTTATATGCCATACATACTGACTATTAGCATATCTTGAAACAGGGAGAAAATTCAGGGTCTGAAATGGGCTAATGTTATATACAGTTTATTAACAAAGAATCAGGGAAACAGCCTTACCTGAAACTCAGACATTATTATGGCAAAACTTGTATGTTATATAGTCATCAGTGTTTAGTACATGTACTGAAATGTTTTTCTGAAAAAAAAGTTAGTTTTATTAACCAAATGTCATATTTTGTTTTTATTGCCAAGAGGGTTTTTATAAGACATTTATTGATATTACAGAAAGGTGTGCACGTCACATTTAATCCTACTACATATTCTTCAACGTCAGTTGGCAGGGGAATGGATTGAAGACTTGGTAATCGTGGTTTTAGTTCTATTAATCGCGAAGGATATGTTTTTATCTTAGTTGGAAGTATTTCCAGTTGGGAAAAAAATAACACTGATCTGATTGGGAAAAAATAACACTGATAACTGATGACACGTTGATCAATGATTGGGAGCGTAAAGGAATGAATGGGTAAATTCTGTAACTAAATATATTATATGTAAAATTAATATTTGCTGGAGATAATGTAAAAAAAAAAATCTCGGGAAGTTATAGATGGAAGATGGCATGGGAAAATCATTTTACTGGTAATACTGCAACTCTTTTACGTTACTGTATTGTAATATTGCCAAGGCCTGTGTTAGGTGTTTTAGAAACAAAGATCAAAGGCCATGCACTCTTGTGAACACTCCTGTGTTCAGTACTGGAAAAGACTTACATGGAAAGACGGTGGCCTATGACAAACTGAATTTTACTATTTGATTTTGTTATTCCTTTTCTTTCAGACAGCGATGGACCAGTTACATATGCACTTCACTCAAGCCATTCACAACACTGTGTTTCAAGTAGTCCTTGGATATGTGGAGCTGTGTGCAGGAAACACAGACACCAAGTTTCAGAAGTTACAGTACAAAGACCTCTGTACAGTATGTAATTCTTGCATATATGTATATTTTTTAATCTGAATTTTTCCACTGTTGTAGGTGTATCTTTTGTAAGTAGGGACTCAGTTATCAAAATAACCCTGCAGCTACTACAATTTCTTAAAATAACTCATAGGCAGATTGAGAGATTGGTTATTCACAACTTAATGCTGGTGTTTATTGCGCTAAATCTTAGCACTTTGGCGTTAGTGTACACACCATATAAATAAATGTAAAGAAGTAAATCGTAGGATACAAATGGAGATCAAGATTTAAAAAATCCCCTGTGTTCAGTGTAATGTGCTAGTTACTGGAATCACTGTTAGCTTTGAATTTTATTTGAGTGTGTTTTGGCAGTATTCATGATTTTGATAATACTACATTTCAGTAAGAATTCTGGTAAAGTTACTAATTTAATTGGAGTCTCCTCATTACTCCTAACTTTGCATCATATTCCTTGCACTTTTGGCATCAAGATAAGGGACAGCTGTAATACTGAGATGCAGAAACCTGATGATAGACTGGGCATAACCATATATTTTCCTGTAGTGTAGATTTTAGATGCAGTTTCTTCCATGTGTATGTTTTGTTTAATTTTTTAAAATGCTTTAGAGTCTATTACTATATTTTGAGTAGTATTTTTAGTTCCTCTTTAATTCTTTTGCTTGTGATCTTACTGTTAAAGCCTCAGAAATTGTCTTAAACTTTAGTGGTAGGGAGAGAGTGAGATATTTTAGGTGATTGTAACATTGATTTAAAACTTGAAATTCTGTTTCGATCTTGAATGTTCTTTTGTTTGTTCAGTCACAGGCTGAGCCCTCATCATACTTCATCAACTCAAGGGCCCACACCATCAGTTGCAATTTATTAAATCAAAGTATAATCACAAGAAGATTAAAATTCACATTCTGATCTACTTTCTGCTCTTTCACTTCTCAGATCTCCTGGGATTGTGTAGCTTCAGCTAGTAAACAATACATCTGCATTGAAAACCAATTAATTGTGAAGAAGTGCCCCTTGGACTTAAAAGACTTACATAATCTAAGAGCCTTCATTTGAGCAAAAGTAGATTATGAAAAAGTAATTTATTGGGAGTAACTGACATAAGTATTAATGAACAGAAGAAGTAAGATTCCAGATAGGTTGTATTTGCACTTCACTGAGGTGAATTCCAGTTGAAGAAAGCCAGCAAACCCTGATCTCTGTTCTCCAGACTCCAGCCCTTTTGTGCTTCTGCTTTAAGTCTTCAGAAGGTGGTTTTGATTTCATAATTCATAATGTATTTTTCTTCTGATTTTTTTCTTTATACTTCTATATGTCCTTTAGTATTATTTCTCATTATTTGCTAATATTCATGATACTGAGCTAGCTGCTAATCCTTACCTTTTTATAGTGCAGAAGGATTTTTCAGACCACTGGAAGGTACCATATTTTGTAATACACAGAGAGTGGCTTTAACTGTGTGGTTATGAAATTATTACCTCAGTATTTCCATTTGGTTTTCCTTCTGCAGAACCATCATGAGATGCTTCTTTAGTTACGTGAGCCTGTAATAGCTGGAATCTGGCAGTCTGTGTAAAGGAAGGTGCCTAAACTTCAGGCCTATAAAGTACTTATGAATACCACAGTAAATTCCTTGGAATTTATTGATTTTTTTTTTTTTAAATTTTTCATTATTCTCTTGGTAACAATTAGGTATTTAGGGACAGGCTGCCTATGGGAAATTTCTGTAAGTTACATGTCTGTGCACTCTGAATCACTATTTCCATGTTAAGCGTTTTTTTCCTAGTGATATGTCATCCTCTGACTCACATCCTTTATCCTTTTGAATAGTACTGGAGCAAGGGAGCATTCTTGTGCTTCATACTTGAGTTTTTATTTTCTTTATGCTAGCATAACTTCAAGGAAATTCAGTAGTTTATTTCCTTAGTCTAAATGGAATTATCTTGGTATTTAGTAAGTGATCCTTTCTTCTTGGCCACCTGGAAGCCAGTACATTCTCAAGTACAGTGATCTGCACTACCAGAGTGTAGATTTTACAGCTACTAAAAGCCCTGAAATACAGTAACACTTTCTGATGAGTTGGCAGAGAAAATTGCTGAAACAGCTGTTGAAATGGCAGGGCAACTGTGTTTAAATGATAAACTTAATATCCTGTTTTGGTGCATTCTTAGCAAAAGTCTGTAGTATCTGAGATTAAAGTGTCCCAGTAATGCAGTCAGTAATGTATATCAACTATCCAGTTAAAGGGTATTTTACAAAGAAAGTATTCCTAATTGTTACTTTTTATGCACCAAGAACTCTTCCTGTTTTGTTGGTGTATCTGGAATACCTAATTTATATCCTTGAGGCAGCTCTGGTTTAATAGGGAACAGAACCAGAATAAAAATTTGTTTGAAAAAACCCCAAGCAAAGTGAAAAGACATAATGATTAATATCAGGCCTCCAGATGCTTTTGCTAGTGACATCTATTAATGCTAAAAAACCAGGTTTTGTGAATTCTTAATCATAAGCAGAGCGTAGGAGAATATGGCTTGGATGGTGTGTGCTACTGCCAGGAGCTTTATTTAAGATTAGAAAGCAAGAGAACATGATTAAATAGGAAGTAAAGACGTAGTTTATAATTTTTCTTTTTACCTGAAAGATGAAAAATAGGAGCAGCCTAAGTGATGTATCTGCATTGATGAAGAAATCTGTCCAGTCTAATGTTTATTGTCCAACAAATGTAATAGTCGAGCTTATCAAGGTTCTGCTGCAATTCATTGCTAAGGAAGGACACTCCGTGTTTATAAAGCCACAGTTACATCAGCAGATGAGGATGCAATTCAGAGGGAATTGATTGCTTTGATTAAGGGTTTGCTCTCTACAAAATCCATGGTTGATTGTTTTGGTGGTTATGGTGACATCACAGTTGCAGAAGCTGCTACTATTTTTGAAGAGTTTTAACTAATGCCAAAGCTTCTGTATTATCTTGGCTGTGTGTTTTTGGGTTAGCATGCAGTACCCACATGGAAAAAGCTAACTGGCCTTGCAGAAGTCACCTGTGGCCACTGAAGTAACAACGGGAAAGTATGAACTGTTTTCTATAACAGGGTTAGTCTGAAGTGCTGATTTCCAGACTTTTCTGAGAACCTTTAATTAATAATGTAATTGAAATCACATTTCTACAGCTGAACTTTGCCTTTGTTTATACGCTGTGAGACTGTGCTGTTTACAGCAAATGAGACGAAGGGTGATGTACCATTGCCACTCAGATAGGCAATATATTTCAGAGTCTTTTCTTTACCCAGCAAGGTCCATTCTCAAATTCATCCTTTACCTGTCAGTCTCAGATATGTCTACAGTATCTCTATCTCTGACAAAGTTACTTCTCTTCACCTAATGAATATCTTCAATCACAGTGGTTCTTTGGAGCAGGGTGGATCGGGGGATAGGTCAGCGGCCACCTAAATTTGTTTGTTTTAGAACGACTTTATCCAGCATTTAATCCAATGGGGCATCAGGCAGGAGGGTTTCCATCTACTACTGGAGTGGAAGTGTGTGTATCAATGAACTGAGGTGGTGGCTGCATGCCTCTGATGGTGAGATGTGCTGACATTAGTCTATAAGGCTTTACTTCTGTATCCAACTTGCTCTTCCATAAATATAAGACATATATGGGCCAGTTGAAACAATAAAAAGGCTGCTAACAAATAAAGTGTGCACTTTTAGACAGCATTTGGTTAGTTGAGTAAAATCAGGTATTTGTCAGGTTTCAAGTGCTTTGAAAAGGAAACTAATTACACATCAGGTACCTCAGCTGTATGAATATGGAGGGTTTTCTATGGTTTGTTTTGCCTCTGCAAAAGATGAACATAATTAAGTTTCATGATATTGTTTTGTTTTTCCGTAGCATATTACATCAGACAGTTACATTCCATGCCTTGCTGATCTCTGCAAAGCCCTCTGGGAAGTCATGCTCAGTTACTACCGAACGATGCAGTGGCATGAGAATCATGACCAAGATGAGGCAACAGTTGTGTCTGCTGGTAAGGAACTGTTCTGGAAACCAAACTTCTGATATTTTTCTAATAATTTTTCTTATGCTCAATTGGTGTGTTGATACCTTTGTGGTCTTGACTTAGTGCCTTCAGCATTGTTGCTTATAGTATGCAGTAAGGACTTAACTACTCACTGGATTTTTGTAATATTCAGTATAACGTTCATATTTTTAATGAATACGTATGTGTACCGTTATTGCAGATGTACAGTTTTATTTTAAACAGTGTTTATTGTTGAGTTGGAAGTCAGCTGTGGTAGATGACTACTGAATCTGAGATTTTTTTTTTCCTTTAATACAGAACGAATGTGAAATTTCAAATTATTTTGATCAGTGATGAAATTTTCAATGCATATTAGGCTTAGTAGATTGGGATACTGGACTGTGTACTAGGAAAGGTTACTGAACCAATAGGGCATGAATCTGTGGTATGTCTTTCGTTTTGATTTTCAGGAAATTCAACTTCCTAAATGTTGTATGTCATATATACTGGTGAATCCATCATAAGGTAGGGTCACAAGTTCCTTCATACCCTTACAGGAATAGGCAAATGTTTCGTCTTGAAGTATAATTTTGGTTTTCTTTTATTGTTGTTCCAGTTTGTGTTTTTTAGGACAGAATCATAGAACCTTTTTCCATTGTCTGTTTTAAGTCCTCCTAAGTACATTTTGCTGGGTGCATTCTAAGTGAATGCAAAATGTCTGAAGACAGACTGTATTTCTGCACTGACCCAGGATGCTTGTGTTTGGCAGAGAGCAGTGTGAAACTTAGTGTATTAAGATTTATGCAAAACTTCTATTTATTTGAATCAGACAGGATTGCTCTTTTCTTACTGAAAAGGAGAGTTCTGTCGAAGGACAAGGGCTGTAGGATTGTTGCTACAGTTATTCCTTCGTGTCTGATTTGAATAAAACTTGTGTCCTTTACGTAAGATAAGAAGAAATAGAAAAATATGTAAACAGAAGTAAGGTACAGATCTTGGAACACTGCTTCCTATAGTGTATTTCAAATCCAAGATTTCTTTAGAAAGTCAGATTTATTACAGATTTTATGTCTTAAAAAGGATGAAATTTATGCTAATTAACATTTTTTTCCTACTTTAAATTTGAAAAATTAATGAAGATTTTTTTAGGACTGTCCTTCTTGTGTTGTGTGGAATCATAAAAAAAAAACTTTACAAAAACTCTGGATTTGTTGAAACTGTTATTTCAGATGAAAATTTTTGTAAGTATCTCAGAATTAAAATTGAATTGAAAGAATTAATTTTGAGGTGCAGCATGTGAAGAAAGATTCTGAAGTTTTGCATGAATTGCCCATTCTCAATAATATGTACTTTTAGGTTTAAAATAACTTCAGATAATTACATTTCTTTCTCTTGTTTTAATTTTGTTGGGATTTTTTCATTTGTAAAATAAAGCAGGTATCGTGAAGAGGTTATTGCATGGAAATGTAATCACAGTAGACTACTTGCTCAGCTGCAGATGTAATTTTAATAATAGTTCCCCTTAGTGTGGTTACTTGTGATATCCTGAAGAAAGAAAATCATTTGCACTGCAAAACCTTTTATAGGAATGATTAAGCCTCATAAAGTGCTATATTCGGTCACATGAGTAATTTTAAATGCATTGCCTTTTAAATGCGTGCCAGTGTGTTTCCATATGTTTGCTACTAATCCACTAAATCTTCTGTCACTCAGTTTTTACATTTCTGTCTTAGCTGTAATGTACAACTGGAATGCATGTGAGCTACTGAATCACTTTTTGAAATACCTCAGCAATGATAAAGCTCACAAAAGGGAATTTCACAAGTACAGTTTAATTTCAGAGAAACTGTAAATATCTACCACATGTTTGTTTTATCTAGAAGTCATTGCTCATGCTGTAGTAATTATTAAAGCTGTACGTGGAAGTCTCATTCCATATTTATTGATTTAATAGCTGTGATATGTGCAAAAGCCAAAGAGAGAAATTCCTGTAGAAAGGGCGGGTATGCAAGAAGGGACCAGGGAGGCAGTTCAGATTATGCTAAAATTACCCCCTCAATTAAACCCCATAGACTGGAGCAGTAGAAGGAACAGTTTTAACTGTTGTATGTGTATCTGGCTTTTATAATTTAAGAACTGAAAGCTGTCCTGGTATTTTTCTCTCATAGAATCATAGAATGGTTTGGGTTGGAAGGGACCTTAAAGATCTTCTAGTTCCAACCCCCCTGCCATGGGCAGGGACACCTTCCACTAGACCAGGTTGCTCAAAGCCTCATCCAGCCTGGCCTTGAACACTTCCAGGGATGGGGCATCCACAGCTGCTCTGGGCAACCTGCTCCAGTGCTTCACCACCCTCTCCGTGAAGAACTTCTTCCTGATATCATGCCAGTTAGGTCTTTCTTTTTTAATAGAGAAGCTTATCCAACATAAGTCCTGCATGGATTACGGAAATGAGTCTACACTTCATCTAGATTGTGTCATGCATTTGTGGTTTTTAATGCCTGTTACAGATGTTAAAATGTATTTTGACTTTGCGTAACTTGGAAATAATTGCTCTTCTGCATTTCTGAGTTGTGTCTGCTTCGGATCGTTAAATGTTCTGCTTATTTGTGTTCTGAAAATTAGTCTACTTTGAGACTGAAGAGCAAAATGGAATAGAAAATGGTTTCTTGACATGTATTTTTTTAATTTGGAGCATTTATAGGGGAGACTCTTTTGAGGCTTAGACAAAACACCCCACACCTCCCTCCCTCTCCCTCCCCGAACTGAGTTCAGAATTTAAGCTTATTCTTTCAGTTACAGAGTGGACTGGTCTTGGGGCATTACTTTTTTTAAGATCAGTTAATGAAAACAGATAATTATTCTTAGTTACAAATGCAATCCTAAGTACTTTTAAAGCATGAGACATATTTTAATACCTTTCATGCAACAGGAAATACTAATGAGGTTTAGTTTGGGTGGTTTTTGAGAGGAAATGCTGGGCTCCGGGAAAAGAAGTGCCTTTGTGTTAGGAGCCTGGGTGTGGAGGTAGAGAGATGAGACCGGCTGGGCCAGGAACAAGGGAGTGAATAGTCTTATCAAGGACTGAAAACGAGCTGGAGATTGCGGAAAAGATGAAAAGACAGGTCTGAGCTGTATGGCAATTTTGGGGTGCTGCAGGCAATCTTAATTCTGTGTTTGCAACCTCTTGAACGATGGGTTAGAAACAGGGCTGTGCACACTGTAATATTCCAGTGTAACATTTTATGTGAATTTTTCTTTCATGTCAAATCTCTAAATGCTTTGGGCTTTAAAGGAAATGCATGGTTTTTCTTCTTGTCAGGAACAGCAAAGTTTTGTTTTCATGGGGAAAATTTGTATGTATAGTGTAGCTGAGACAGAGCTTTCCTGTGGTCAGCCGCAGGTTGTGAAGTAAACTGCATGACACTCTGCCATCACAGACTGCAAGGGTAACCACAACCGCATGCTCAGAAACTACATATAAAATGTTACCTTCTCTTTTTAGGATGGAAATAAAATATATTTCCTCCATGGGGAAAGAGGGACAACTTACAGGGGAAGTTCACCGTGAATTATAGTTCCTCTGTGGAAAGTGATCCAGTGCTGTCGGAATGAAGGTTTTAGAATTAAATAAAATAATTTGGAAGAATGAAAGACATCTGATGATATGATTGACATTATTTCATGCATAGGCATAGATCAGTATGAGAAGGGGAAAAAGAAAAGAGCATGCTGTATTGTTTGCAGTACTGACACTGTTCATAGAAAAAGTGTTAGCATTTTTCCTCAGAGTTGGAGACAGAACTTACTGGGGCAGAAAGTTAAAAATCTTGCGTCTGAAATTTTTAAGTTCGTGATTCTTGTCTGCAAAGGTAGGGCATCTTAGAGGAACTTGTAGAGGATAAGCAATGCTCACTTCAGCATTCAACTCTGTGTGTTTGAAACATCAGTATCTATTACTCTCCTCTCTTTTTGATTTTTACTGAATGTGTCTTACATAAAAGCAGTCAGAAGCTGTCCTGGTCTGCATTAGCATATAATGTTTACATGTGCTTTATTAATTTCCTTTCTAAAGTTTAGAGCAATGGAGCTCTCCTGGAGTTTGCATAATGGATAATATGATAATAGCTAAGGCAGAAGTTTTATTATGAGTAGAAAACAAGGATACGTTTCAAAGCTTTTGGAAATATCTACAATACCTTTCACATTCAGTTTCAGATGGCAGCAATGTGATTGGAACTGAAGAGAACAGTTTTGACCGCAGCTATGTAAAAAAGAAATTGGAACATGGGCTTTCACGAATATGGCAGGTATGTGTTTTGTTTTTTTCCTAAATATTTATCTCCCTGCAACCCCTCTCCCTTCTGCCCCAGTATTAATTACAATTATATTTATACTGATCTTCTTAAAGAAATCTCTCCTGGGATTTTTTTAAGTGATTTGTTTTGAGCTATATGTCAAAACCATGGAGATACAATTTCTGCAACTCAGTTACTCCTGGTCACTGTGCTTACAAACTCAGTCAAGATACGCAAACATAGTACAATGACCTCCAGCCTGATTCTACTTCTCCCAAGCTGTGTGCTGTCCCACAATCTATTTTCCTCTTCCTGTGCTTTTCTTTTGTTAGCACAGTCATACTGCTTTATGTTTCTGGTATAGCTGTGGAAAACCTGAAGCCTTGTGAACCTACCTGGTTTCACAGAATTCCTGGTCTGATTGTTGGGTCACTTTGATGTGCAGTGGGACCCCAGATGTATGATGCCTTTTACATAGCTGAATTGTAATACAGAGCTCTGTTTTTTGAGTGGCAATCTAGGATTTACCTTGTGTAATAGAGGGTTTAAAAAACCTGATCATATTATTTTAGATAATCAGTGATACATCAGTCATGTTTAGAAAATGGGATTCTACTCTAAATCTCAAAAAAAAGTTGTAAGTGCAAACAAACCGAAAAGTGCGAAGGAACCAGGCATCTGAGCCTTCACCTTTTTGTCTTTAGTGTATTAAGTATACAAAAACTTTTTTGTTTTGTAGGATGTTCAACTGAAAGTGAAAACCTATCTTCTGGGGACAGATCTGTCTAACTTCAAATATGATGACTTCATATTTGTACTTGATGTTATCAGCAGGTAAACTGATGATCAGACCACTTAATACATATACACAAACTTGAACTCTCATAAGAGAGCACAGTTAATTGAGGCTGATATTTACATTCTTCTGCCAACTTTATCTACTGATAAAGAGCACTTCTTTATGTGGGAGTTTATGAGGATGTACTTAGGAGCAGTAGTATAAATTGCTTTGCTGCTCAAGTAGTGTTTAATTGTGGTATGATTTCAGTATGGTCCAGCTTTCAAATTTCAGGTGTGCAGATCTGACAATTTTGATCTTTCTAAAAGCTTTTAAAGGGTCTCTCAGTCAAGAGCAGTAAAATACTGTGGTACTGCTAGCCTGCACAGTATTATATCCTTCTGTTTTGGTAATAACATGATGGATTCACACTGAGCTGTACAGCTTGCCCTGCATAATGGGATCTCAAAAAGGCATTTACTTTGCTTAGTCCTCTTTCTCTCTGTGTATGGGACATTATGATAGGATTTGGAGGAAAATGAGACATGTACTTCTGTGGAGTGAGAGAAGTGTTTGCAGCTTAACACTGGTGCTCTGCTTTTATGGGGCTGCATGTATGTTCATGGTAATGATTGAGGCTTGTAAGTCAGACTGCAACAGCTGTATTAATAAATCTTTGTTTTATTAGCTTTGCATAAGCTAATTATTAGCTTATACAAAGCTAATACTGTACTGTATATTATATTAATATAGCTTTGTTTATTATAAATGTATTATAAAATATTATATAAAGTATAAAGCTACTGTATATTATATTAATAAAGCTTTGTTTTATTGTTATAGGCTGATGCAAGTTGGAGAAGAATTTTGTGGCAGTAAATCTGAAGTTTTGCAAGAATCTATCAGAAAACAAAGTGTTAACTATTTCAAAACATACCACAGGTGAGTCTTACTATATGTGCAGTGGATGAATCTAATTGCATTTATTCTTGTTGTGTTTAATTTTAAATGTTTTCCAAAGGAATTCCATAATGTTCCTGCATTAAGGTTGAAAGATAGTGAAATATGTTTCATGATGCGAACAGGGCTCTGAACACTGCACAACAGGAGGGGTTGGAGAAGCCTTTCCTTCCACTATGGTTGTGGAAAACACTAGTTTTGCAGCAGGCAAGTCAGATAATGATGAAAAAGATTTTATGTAGAATTTCAGTAGTTTTTCAGGCTGTGTCTTAAGATGTCTCCTAGGATCCTGAGAATGAACACCTCTGAAGTCCATACTTGTAGAAGAATTACTTCTTTTTCTGTGCCATTACATAAAAAGAGCTCATTTTACATGGCTCTGAATTTTTTTTTCAATATGCAGTTTTGTCTTATATTAAGATGTTTAGAACTGAGTGCATCCTTTTGAGTCATGTTTTCATAGTTTTTTCATTGGCAGTATCTACTTACATTTCAGTCACCTCGACAGTCACATCTGAGGTCAGTCATACGTGCTGTCATGTTCAGGCAGTCTCTGGCCTCAAATATGATATATTTGAAGCTATGACAGCTTCAAGACCTGTCTTTTAATTGTCTTGATTTCCCAAATGTTTTGGTTTGTATGATTGACAACTCTTTCAATCTAATTATCTAGCATTTATCTTCTTTCTGTGTAAAAAGCTAGGAAGATATGAAGAGAAATACAGTGTTCCTTGCTCTACAGAACTCTTACTTTCCCAGTCTTGATCTGTTGTCTGTTGCGTTGGAGCTGTCATACAACTAACACATCCAAACCTATTTGGTCTCAGACTTTCTGCCTAAAATCCAAAACTTAGGAAAATTGTGACAGTAGAACATGAGACAGTCTAAATTGCAAAGCTGAGACCATGGTTTGGAATTTCTTCCAGCTTTGGTAGTTGTAGCTGGGATTTCTTTCCAGGCATTTGATGAAGACCTCAGTTCCAGTTGGTTGAAAAGCTTGAGCCTTAAGCAGATGCCCGTTATGTCTTGTCAGGAGATGATCAGTGGTGTGGCATCTTAATCAGCTCTTTATTTCTTGAAAGTGTTTCTGAACCCTGAACTGAATTTCATGAACTGATTTGGAAACTGAGCTTGCCTCTCTAGGGTCAGAAGAGCTGTTTTGGTGTACCTAATTGCCTTTTATTACACTGACTTGCCACATAATACTTTATTTGATAAGTAAATACTGTTTTGACCATTATGGTTTTGCTTATGTTTAAAGGACCTATTTGACAGCCTAGGGAAGTGGAGACTAATTTTCTGAATTATCTTTCAGTCAAATAAACGTTAAGAAACATTTATGGGGGTATGTACAGAAATGGTAATTTTTTTGAAATCACTTGTATTTTTTTATTAAGGTAATGTTTCTTGTAATTCTTGTGAAAATAAAAGGAAATCATGATATGACTTAAGTTATGTGAACCTTTTTAATAATTTTTGTGTTTTGTGCTGTGTGGGTATCGTGAAGATTAATTGGCTGATGTTTTCAACCTCAGAAGGAAAAATATAAAAAAACCCTCTCTCCCAACTCAGGTTGATTTATATAAAGCTTTAAGCATCTTGCCTTTTCAGATCAAGCTAATGTGGCTTTCACTCTCCTTGTGTATTTAATTGGAGAGGAAAAAAAAAAAAGCTAGTACTTTTAAGTATTCATTAGTACATAAAAACTACATAGAGCTGAAATGCGAGAGTCCAGGAGTAATGGGTTCTTTGATTGTGTAATTTGACATATGTGGCCTCCTGGGCGGTGTGGTGCTTTAGAGAACTGCCAACATAGAGGAAGCATTCAGAGGAACTGGGCATGTCATTCAAAAAGTGTAGAAGAGCAGTGTAATAGTAGAGCATACATGAAGCCTTTTTTTGGTAAAAGTTGATTATTTTGAAATATTAGAATGGGCTTTTGGCAGAGAACATGGGTAAGGAGATTTTTGGAATGCAGTTTACTTTTTGTTCTGATATGTCTTAGAAAGGTGTGTCTGATCGCTGAAGCTTTTCAGAGGATGAATGCATCAGACCTTCCATGTGTGCCTCTTTACAGACTTGTACACTGGTGAAAATGAAGAGCATTTGTTCAAGTACATTGCCAGTGCCTTGATTTCAGCTTTGCAATTGTACAAAAAGTGGTGCTGTGTGCTTTTTAAATGTTTGCTTTTCTATGACTCTTTTTCCTTAATCTTCCTCTCGAAAGAATTTTCACCTGTAATGCTGATTTTCACAGGATCTCTGTTGTTTCTGTTGGCTTTACTGTGGGAAGATCTGCAAGCTACGGGTGTTCACTGCCTCCAAAATAGCACTTGAGGTTTATTTGCATTTAACTGGTGAATTTAAATAGGCACAGCAAACTGTAGTCATAATTCAACATATTGCTCATCTCATTGAGGCAAGAAAACGTTAATCGTAGTGGTGATTGTAGTTCATTATTGTAATAGTGATATTTCTGGAATATTTTACTGCCTAATTAAAACCCCAGTGCATAATTTACCAACTGCTACTCGTTAAGCAAAACAATATACCATATATAAGAAGAAAAGATAGTCATGTGACCTCAATAAGCACTCATTGCTGTCTTTTCCTATATGAGCTCCTGCTTCTGTGGCAAAAAAGATTTTCTTTATTAAAGGTGTTTCTGCTTATGGCTGAACGGAGACTTTTACGTTTCCCTAATGCGTTTTCTATATTAATACCAAAGTAAAGCTAAGTGATGAATCAAAATACAGCTTAGGAGATTAATGCCCATTTAACATTATTCTTCTCTGAAAAGTTGAGATGTCTGTAAAACATTCGTTTTCTCCACTTCCCTTTTCTACCTGCTGGCTTCAATGGGTTCAAAAGAAACATTTATCTTGGGTGGGCTCACAGAAGCTGTCTGATAGAGTGTATATATCTTATTGCTTTCTGCAGTTTACGTAGGCAAAAAAAAAGGTCCATTACAACTGCATAATCATAGATGTTTCTCTATGCTTTCTAATGGTTTTGACAAAAAATACTGTTTCCAAGTTTTGGAAATTTACATTCTTAGAGAATTTCTCCAGAGCTGTCATAAAACATACACTGTGTTAGTAGCCACAGCTTTTAGGTGGTCTGTCAGTTGAAAGAATGAGTTTTCACTGTATAATTGTTTATTTCCTGATTTACTCTTGGTGCCCATTAAGAGTATTCGTTGTTTGTCTTTCAGAACTCGTCTTGAAGAATTACGAATGTTTTTGGAGAACGAGACCTGGGAACTTTGTCCTGTTAAATCAAGCTTTAGTATTCTGCAGCTTCATGTATGTTCTATGAATAACACATACAAATGTATTAATACTTCAATAGCTAAGAGTCCAGGTGTTCTGCGAGGTAGTAAGATCCATGAAGTATTGTGCAAATGTTTTTCATGGCTGCTAAAGCAACCTAAATTTCACTTAATTATATTGGAATCTTAAGATTCAAGTGCTTTTAAAACAGAAGTGAACAGAAGGAACACTTGCTGTTCCTGTTTCAGGCAGGTAGAGGTTTACAGGAGATGCTAGAGTTGTAAGCATAATGTTGGCCTTTATTTTTCATGGTTTAGTGTGCTGTGAATACCTCAGTTTTCCATTTCTAAATTATTTATCTGAGGGTAAGATGCTAAAAGATGAATGTCTAAAAGTTGTCACAAGTGCTCACTAGTTTGTATCAATTTTGGCATCTGTTTCTGGAAACACAGGTCATATTGGCTCACTTGGAAAGATAAAAAAAGTTAATTCTTCTGTGGTGAAGACCAACAGAAAGCAAGTAATTGGTGTGCTTGCCTGCTGTCCTGAAGTGATTTTGGTGAAGTTTAGCATGTGCTGGGTGAATTTCACCTGTTTTGCCAAGGGTAACGTGGGTGCCTATGATTAAAGCTATCACTAAAGTGCAAAAATGGATATAGCTGAGCAATCTCAAGCCAGAGATAATTTTGCAGTTTTTGTAAAGTTAACTGTAAAAGTAAGCAAGAAGCTGCTGGGGCAGTAGTAGCACAGAGGGGGAAGGGAGGAGGACCCCCAGTAGCATCCAGTAGCAATAGATACAATATTTTTAATAGAGAAATGGGATTATAAATCCATACATACTGCTCAAGGGACTGGCAGAAAAGCAGTTGATTCATTTAAACAGAAATCTAACGTTGCGATCCTTTTAACTGCATACATTTTGATCTTTAATCCTTTAGAGAAATGATAATGCACATTTTGCTCTTTATGAAGATCAGTAGCTAGAGTTTAATAGATAAAAATGTCAACTGAGAAGTCAGGGGTTTTAGAAAAAAAAGTCTAAAATCATAACTTATGTACCCTGCTCAGTCCATATATTTTCAAAAATCTGTGCCCTCACCTACTCATCAGAAACTTCATGTGCAAGGGGTTCGAAGAGCAATACATCTTGAAAAGAACTTTAAAAATAAAATATCAAGAAAAAAATCTCGTCTTTTGTAAATTACTAGGTAACTTGTATAGAGAAAACTACATTTTTAGATAGAATTTAGGTCTTGTCTTACCTCCTAATTTTTGTGAAATAAAAACCTCATGTAGTTTTCTCCTAGTTTTAGACAGTGAATTCTTTCAGAATGCAAGAGATAGCCAAAATATACTGAACACTAGGAAGAAAAGCAGTAGAAGATTGCGAATTTAAGGGTTAACTTGAGCCAGCATGAAGAGTGTGTTTCAATAAACATTGAGTTTTCATATCAGGTTAATTGACCACAAGTTTGTTGTTATGCTCTGTTTTTATGGAACTGGAGTCATAATACTTAACTGTCTTGTTGGTGTTTAAAATTGTATTTTATTTCTATTAATAGGAATTTAAGTTCATGGAGCAGTCACGTTCCCCATCTGTGTCACCTAGTAAGCAGCCTGCTTCAGCAATTTCAACAACAGTAACGTTATTCGAGCAGTACTCTAACGGAGGAAACCCATTTGAAATTCAGGCCGACAGCAAAGATGATGAGACAGAAGATGTGTTAGCTTCCAATGGGGTATGGAGTGTTGCAGGAAAAAAATGAAAAGCAAATCTTGTTCTCAGTAAATGATGATTATTTTCTGTATCAGTGATGGCAAAATGTCTTAATACAAGGATCCGTTAACTGCGGTAGTGTGTAAAAGCTCAAGTTCCTTTACTTCTTTAGTTAGGTACGTTGCTTTGCTTTTAACAGTGCCCGAAAGCCAGGCATCCTGTTTAAAGTTCAGTTTGTTTTGCAGTGGATTGATATTTTTTCCACTGAAGTCAGGTGTTCCTGAGGGCTAGCAAGACACGTTCCACTTAAATTAGTATTTTTCCAGGGGTTTAAGTTAGCTGTGTTTGTGGAAATAATTTTGTCATTTTAAGTCCAGCTTTCTGGCCTCTTAGGTAAGAGTAATTGTGGGTTGCTCCTTTCACACTGAAGTGATTTGACATGGATTGTGTGATGTTTCCTAGACAGTTTATAATTGTAATTTAAATCCTCAGGACACTTATTTTACAGTGGGATCTACTATAAAACTGAACAGTAACTTCGTATTTTTTCAGACTTCCGTCAAAATCTAGCAGTGGTCAAGTATGTTTTACTTTAAAACTTGGTACCTTTCTCTCAAATGCTACATTAGCATATTTTTATTAAAGCTTTTGCTCTTGTTTATCCCTTGGATGAATAATGTCTTCTTGGGCTTTTTTCTTTTTTTGTGGTCAGGTTGGGTTTAGTTTTTTTGTTTAAGGTTAGTTAATCCAGCTTGTCACACTAATGCCTTTCTGGTTTTCAGATTTATTTTTCTTGGTTTCCCTGTGGAACTTTAGTTGCAAAGCAACTTGATCTGTGTCTCACACACCTGAGTGTGATGCTCTGGTGTCTTTCCTTTTGTGTGCAATGCTGCGGTCTCTTTCCTACCATGTCACTTGAAGAGAAAATACAGTTGATTGGCAAAAATATTGTTGCATTGTGCTTAAAGGAAGCTGCTGGGGAGCCAGTTTTCTGGTGGTAGTTCTTCCCCTGTCAAGTAATACAGCAGAACATACGTGCAACCTTTTCATATCAGTAAGCTGACAAGAGTTGCATGATTATTGCTGTTAGACTTACAGAGGTACTCCAAATGAGTGTGTTACACAAAGATGAATGCCCTGTGGGGCATGCTGAAAACTGCTGAATTCCATGGTGCTAACCTCACCCAAAAAGCCACCTTAGCTTTCTTTACAAATACCGTGTTTCAAGTACAAATTCTGCATGCAGGGATAGTTACACAGGAATTGCCATGTTGGGTGAGACCAGTGGTCAGCATCCTGCTGCTGATAGTGGTTAGCACTAACTCTGCAGGCTCGTGAGAGGTAATGGGTCCAGCGGGTCTTCCTGGGACACTTAGTACAAAACATAACATGAGCTACAAAACAGAAGTGTGTGGAATGGTTTTCCTTTATTTGTTCCAGAATTCTCCTGAGAAAAAGGCAAAGGACACCGACAACTCTCACTCCCCCAGCCAGAACCACATTCCTTATTGGAGCAGAATAATACCATTATCCAGGAAGTTGTTACCTTTGTTGACTTATTACCACAGAGAGTCAATGAATTCGATCATCTATAATCATTCTAGTTAAAAATGTCTTTTTATTCTGAATTTCATAGAATCATGGAATGGTTTGGGTTGGAAGGGACCTTAAAGACCATCTAGTTCCAACCCTCCGGCCATGGGCAGGGAAACCCTCCACTAGACCAGGTTGCTCAAAGCCTCATCCAGCCTGGCCTTGAACACTTCCAGGGGTGAGGCATCCCCAGCTTCTCTGGGCAACCTGCTCCAGTGCCTCACCACCCCCTATGTGAAGAATTTTTTCCTTATATCTAATCTAAACCTCCCACTTTCAATTTAAACCCATTACTCCTTGTCCTGTCTCTACAGGCCCTTGTAAAAAGTCCCCCCAGCTCCCTTGTAGCCCCCTTCAGGTACTGGAAGGTGCTATAAGGTCCCCCTGGGCCTTCTCCAGGCTGAACAAGCCAAATTCTCCCAGCCTTTCATCATAGGAGAGGTGCACCAGCCCTCTGTTCGTCTTCGTGGCCTCCTCTGTACTTGCTCCAACTGGTCTATATCCTTCTTTTGTTGAGGCCCCACAGCTGGATGCAGTCTTCCAGGTGGGGTCTCATGAGAGCAGAGTAGAGGGGGAGAATCATCTCCATTGACCTGCTGGCCATGCTAAATTTGTCTCTAGTCATTGGAGAAAGTCTCTATGTAAAGGTTGCTGCTTCCATACCAGTTGTTCACTACTGTCTGTTTATTGAAGGTGTGTGAGGCTTGGTCCCAGCCAGGGCTGAAGCTACTTCAGACAGTAAGCATTGGTTTGTTAGGAAGGGATAGCCTCATGCTTTGTACGTAGGTGCCGGTGTCACTGCAAGCACCGTGGTGGAGATGAAGTTCTAGTAGATCATTGTCAGGACACAGTATGCCTTTTCTGGTGGGGCTGAGAGCAGCTGCCTCAGTGGGTCAGCAGCCTGTGGTTTTGGCAAAACAGGCTAGAGGGAGTCGTGATCCCATGAATTACCAGTAGGCTGATGTGTTATGCATGTAGCAATGTCCATGTTGTGGTTTCACTGTCTTTAATTTTGAACAGTGTCCCATTTGGTAGGTGTTCACGTTGTCAGGGACTTCCAAGGCTGGCTTCACTGTCCTCTTTTTCAAAGCTGTGTGCCAGTTTAGTGTTCTTTATTAGTGCAACCTTAATATATTTTAAATTGATAAAATCTGATTTTGTGCCTGGTGAAGAACTATAATGAATTTTGGCTTCCCTTTGACACCACAGGGACAGAATTTCTATGTGGAAAAAGTGAAATACCAGTAATATGATTTATTGTGCATTTTTTCATGTGAAATCTTGTTAGTTTTACAGTCATATTATAAAATAGTTTGTTTAACCTTAGATATAGTGATATTTGGAGAACTTAGGAATAGTGCATAGAACTAGCTTTTTTTTTTAACTAAAATGTAAATTTAAATTTCAGTTTGCTCAGTTAAAATTGACTGTGGAGAAGGATGCTTTTGATTTTTCTCCTCTCCTTGTGGAGATCAGTCGTGGTCAATATTTGCTTTGTGTGATATGTTTCTAGCAACACCATATATAAACAGGCTTATTTCAGGTTGAGTTTAGTCCATTGGAAAATGGGAACTATCTGCTTTTAATATTGAAAGATGTTAAGTAAATCTGAAGAACTGTACTGAGAGTGGAGACAAGAGTGTTCAGCGCTACTAAGGCGGCGCTTACTTGGTTTTAATTGGTGTATTTGGCTGTTAACTCAGTCACTGGAAGGATAAAATCCTTTCTAAAATCTTTGTGAGCCAGGGAAGTATTATGTACATTTACTGAGAGAATTAAGTAACTTAGTAGTTGTACAGGACATCTGACCTGACTGGGATTAGAAACAAGATTTCTTGTGACTAAGTGAGTATACTCTTCAGGTGACCAGCCTACCTTCCCTTTTCACATTTCTCATCTCTCCATTACTGGCTGTTCCAAAGTGCTGACAGATAGAAAGAAATTTTTTTTTTTTTTTTTAGTAAAAGTTACACCTATTTGTTTATCCTTTACATAGAAATGTGAGATATAGAAACAGGTAATGTGGGCTAAAATTTCTACAAAGGTTTTAGGTTTCAGTTTCTTGACAGACGAGCTAAGGTGGAGATATGTTTGGGCACTTAAAATTTAAATTTCAGACAGAGGTTGCACAATTTGGTTTCCAGACACTGCAGACATGTTTCCAGATACTTCAAGAAATGGCATCAGTGTGCTGGGTTCAGCCAGGA